TATTACTTAGCCCACCTTTAATAAACTGCACATTCATAATTATTAGATGTGTAGGCAGGAAGTTCTTATGAATAATAAAACAGATCAGCAAACTGTGAGGTTTGTTGCTTTGTGGCTTTCGTGACTTTCAGGACTTGTTCCGGTCATAGCTGTGCATGGATATGTACACGTGTGTAGATCGGCACATCATGTGATGTACTGAGGTATGACACACAGTTCTCTTTTAGTCATGGAAAGACCATCACAGCTTTAACGGTCAAACGTTCAAAATATAAGATGTTTGTAATATAATTTTATTGTAACTCTATATTTTTATTGATTTGTAAGTTATTATTTAAACATTTTTTGAAAAGTAAAGTAAAAATGGCAAACATCTTTAATTAGTGTCACTTGATCCTCTAATATCCTGATATTCTGCTTGAGAAACCTTCCTGTTTGTTTTTTCAGAAATTATAATAAGATTTTTATCAGGATGCAATAATATTGTAATATATGGAGATAACAGGATGGATAGAATAGAATTGATATTAGAAAGTATAGTAGCTATTTATAGTATGAATATGTTATATTGCATAAAAATAAGAATAAGAATAGGAATTACATAAATAATAATAATAATAATAATAATAATAATAATAATAATGATAATAATAATAATAATAATAATAATAATAATAATTATTATTATTATTATTATTATTATTATTATTATTATTATTATTATTATTATTATACCCCCTAGTAGGGCCCATAGTTCTAAACCAACCCCTATTTTTCTTATTATGTTATTGTTTTTTTTTACCTTCATTTAGCCAATTCTCTGCGCCAAATAAAATAAATGTTTAATGTCCATTTTTGAGGAGTTAAATTTTAGATAAATGAGATTCTACAGTAGGCAGGGGGAATTTATCAGGATGTATTGATATTATAATATATGGATATAATAGAATGGATAAAAGTATAGTAGTTATTTAAAATACTGTATAAATATTTTTATATTGCATAATGAAATGTATACTACTACTACTACTACTACTACTACTACTAATAATAATAATAATAGTAATGACAATAATAATAATAATTATAGTTATAATATTTATTATAATATATAACTATATTATTAAAGTTATAATATTTATTATTTATTAATATAATAATAATAATCATTATTATCATTATTATTATTATTATTATTATTATTATTATTATTATTATTATTATTATTACAATGTATATAAAGAAAATGTATTAAAATATAATTATAAAAACAGGTAAATCAATAATAATAATTATTATTATTTTTGTTATTATTTATTATTATTAATATTATTATTAGTAGTAGTAGTAGTAGTAGAAGTAGTAGTAGTAAGTAGTAGTAAGTAGTAAGTAATATTAGTGCATGGATAAAAGCGTCTGCTAAATGACTAAATGTAAATGTATTATTATTATTGTTATTATTAGTAGTAATAGTAATAAAAATAATAATAATAATAATAATAGTAATTGTAATTACAATTATTATTATCATTATTATCATTATTATTATTATTTTTTTTTATATATGGCCCCCTACTGGGTCCTATAATTCTAAACCAACCACTATTTTTATTTCTATACTATAGTTTTTTTACCTCTATTAAGTCATTTTTCTGCACTAAATAAAATAATTGTTTAATTTCCATTTTTTTACAGTACGAAATTGAATACAATGTACAAAATACAAAATGTCAACCCTCACCAATATTGATCCATAAACATACACACTTACATAAATGACGTTAAGCATGTCGTGATTCTTCATACGTAATGTGAGCCGGTGACGCTGACAAGCTCCTAATTTTATCTCTGCGCCTCGCCGTCAGTGTGAAGAGCCAGAGGGTTTGTGCCACGGTTGATAATAAGAGTTTTGTCATGGTTTTATTTAGCCCGCTGTGACCCTGTATTAAGGGCAAAGAGAAGGCGAGGATTGCAGAGCTGAAGACAAACCTAGAGAAACCGTTCAAAATATAAAAGATGAGGGGTTTGCTTGACTTGAAGTTAAAACTGTGTGTGTTGAACATCTGTGTTCAGGACAAGTCTCGAGCGAGGAGAGAAAGCCTGTCACAAATATATCCCGCATCGCTTTATCTGCAAGATGTCTAATGCAGTCTTGCATTTGCAATAAGATCTTGTTCTGTTATCCACTACCAGATGCTACAAATCAGCTCAGTGAAACATGCAGGGAATGTTAGAGTCTAGTGAACCGCACACATACTCTACTGAATGAGCCTTGCTGCTTATCTGGGAAAGCAGGTTTAAATCCAGCACTGGAAAAACAATTGCTGGTTTCCAAATATTTCCTTTATGTTGTCCCCACATAAACCGGTTGAGTTAACATCTTTGTTTTTACAAATTTAGGTGGATTGAACATAAAAAGTTGAACAAGAATTGTTTGAGTATGCAGCATGCTTGTACATTGAAAAAATGTTGTTCCAACACAAATCGATCAAGTTAACTTAAAACTTTTAACCAATTTATGTGGATTGAACATAAAAAATTAAGTTGTCTCAATAAAATCTCAAGATTTGTGTTGTTTCAGCTCATTTTAAATAAGTTTGAACAAATAAAAATATATACAGTATATTTTTGTGTACTATGAGTTTTGCAGGAAATTCTATACCAGAAGATTAAATATTATGCAAGAAATCTACTTGACAATTAAAGTCATTAGTATCTTAGTACATATAATATGTTCTCCTTAGTGTATAGTTACCAGCAAATTAATTTGTATATATTTATATTCTTACAACTTTGCTGTCTGTCATGTGTAAAGATGCTAGTGGTGTAACGGATCACAAATCTCACAGTTCGGAACACACTTTGGTTTTTGACTCACAGATCGGACCATTTTTCAGATCAGCAAAAAAGGGAGGAGACCAATGTCATTTGCTTTTCATTTTTACAAAAATATTGCTGCAAAAACCATTGGTTTTAACAAACAGAATTTAAAACCTGTAATTTTAATTTTTTTTAAAAATCAAGAAAGAACCAAGTGAAAAAAAAGGACAAAATTCAATACGAAAAATTATCTTTGTACCGTTGCTGATAATGCTAATCATAGAAATCTACTATCCTGTACAATATCATATTTATTTTCAACTAATGATTCAATAATTATCACATAAAACTTTACGTTTCATTAAAGATGTATCATTTATGAAAACCAATTCAATGACGTAATTTTGATGTATGTTTGTCGCCACCCAATGGTTACACAGTGTAATTGCTACAACATTCACCGGCGTCAAGTTTTATTAAACAATGATTTAAACATCAGTGTTTATATCTGAACTATTAACTGTTATTCCAGAACTTCTGTGTTATTTAATTGTTTGTAATTTACTGAAAAGTGTAAAAACTGAATCTATCTCAATCGAACAAAGATTTGAATGCAGCGCTTCGAAGGATTAATAAACATGCAAATCATTATCATTTATCATTCATGTTGCGCGGTTTTGAATTGAGATTCTGATCTTTTAATGTTTAATTGTGCAGCTTTACATGGAATGCATTAATGCAGGCTAAACAAGCAGTGACAGAAAACACCTTAAACACCTTTAATTGATACCCTAAAGCATTTAGGTATAGGTCCAACCACAACTTTTTTCGTCATCATATTTTACGGTGAAGCCAACGTCTCTGCAATTGTTCTAAATGTTGAATTATCCTACAAGTTCAAACAAAGTTAATAATCCACGGGTCACGTGCATTCCGAACTGTGGGTTGTGATCTGTGCAGATCACGAATCAACCGTGATCCGTTACACCCCTAATACATGCACTTTTCATACACAAGAAGCTGCATTTTTTTTATTTGCATTTTTACTTTGGGTGCGTCTCAATTAGTTCCAATGTTCAGCAGTCAGGGCACTCATAAGAAAGTCAAACTATTTTCAAGCCTCAATCTCAAAATTCTTCAAGTGCACGTAATCTGGAACAGGAAAATCGAGGAGCATCGATGCTCATTATGCTCCCTTAACGAAAGTTCAGAAGCACGGAACATGAACACGTGAACCAAATCATCAAAAATACCAACAAACAAAAGACATTTTTATATTAAGAAACGTATTTATTTATATTTAACACAAATGGACGTAGCTAGATAGGTTAAGAACAATTTAGCAAATATTTATAATTGTTTAATTATAACTGAGGTTGATGATGTTCTCATGTCACACTCAGTTCCCAATGTGTAGTGAACTAAGCTCACCGATGTCCTTATCAGTGACCGAATACATGTAAGCGACCTATTGATCTACAACCTCAGGAACATTGTATCCATTGACTTTTTGTGTAACTTACTTAACATACACGTACATTACATACTCGAAGTGATGCTTGTTTCCAGAGAGCAGGTAAAACAAAAACCAAAAGGTAAAAAATTTAATTAACAAGTTAATAACATGGTGAGAATGTGGTGAGATCTGAAAACATCGTAAAAATCAGGCAGCCAAAAGGGCTTTTCTTTTTCTGGATTGCTTTTAAAAACACTGCTGGTTGGGTTTAAAGAAGGCAGGGGGCAGGTCAATTGGTGCTTTTGAAAACACTGTCAGTTGATTTAGGGAAGGGATGGGGCTATCGATTGGTCGGTCAGTCAGTCAGTTGACAGCAGCCTCTGGTGGATTTAAGTGAGAACAGCAGGTGAGAATAGCACTTGCGAGAGAAATTTGAGATCTAAAAAGCATAAGCAGCGACCTAATAATTTTAGATCAATTTACATTTTGTATTTATATTATGCGTGGTTGCTTTGGTCTGTTTGTGTTGTCACCTCAGCTGTTTTGTATAAGGAGGCTTGTTGTGTTGTCAAATTTGGTTTTGTCCTTATTTGTGTCATTGTTTTGTTTCTGCATGTTACACGACAACTACTAAACACATTCTTACATTCTGAATACACATTTTAACAGTATAAACTTCAGGTTGTTTTGTCTCCATGCTAACCTGTTGTCTGTTTCCGATCAGAAATCCCTCATTAGATGAGATGGAAGGTCACAGGTTTGATTCCCAGCACTTCCAGTTGAGGTGAGAAACTTCGTTTAGCTGTCCTTTCGGTTCTGATTGTTCATGCACACCACATATGCTTTCACTTTCTGTTATTTATCCCTGGAAACTATGGATTGCTTGAATAAAATGTGAAAGTGACAGTCAGATCAGTCATTCTGAGAGTTCAAATGTGATTTAGAAAGAGGAATTAATAAAAAAAAAGGATGAAAAGCATGCCTGGTTGTCATTTCCTACAGGGATTTTTCAGGCTGTCATGACAGTATTAATGCAGGACATTAATTATTGCACAGAAATGTTACTTTTAATTTCATTCTCACTAATAAACAAAGCCAATGTACTTACAAATGTTGAACTAACTGGTTGCAGTTCCTTCCTTGTTCCTCTAACACATTTTCAGTGCCATGTTTTACACTCACTTTCTATTTTTTCTCTGTCTTTCTCTACCCTTCTCTCTCTCTGTTAGTGGACGACCGATATGGGTTTTTTGTAATTGTTGATTCCAAAATTAAAAATAAGATAGCAAATTACTCCTTTATTATATCATAGATATTCTGTATGACATGATAGATAATGCTATAGATCATGTATAGCATGATAGATAAAATATAGTAAAAATATTCAAATATAATCCAGTGATTGGACCCGTACATAGTCAATAGACCCTTTTCACCTGACGTGATGCAGTGTCTGGTTTCACTCCATGCAGTGTATCGTTACTTCCATCTACACAGAACTCCCTATAGAGAACTCAGCCACCCAGTCAGCTGTATATTTGCTACAGATACAGTTAGATGGCAACTACTAATTTTTTCTGTCGTCTGCATTTAAGGTGAGACATCTGACATTAAAAATGTACAGATCATCCAGATTTCCGCTTGAACCAAGAAAATGGGACTTTAAACAGTCTATTGCATTGTGTTACAGTCTTTACCTCAGATGAAGTTTGTATATACTTCTCAGCATTTGTCAAATTAAGATTTCAGATGTTTACACGGATGCTAAACATTTATGTCAGATTTATTATTGACATTTTTTGTGTCCTGATGCATGAGTATTAAATAAAACTGTGTGTGTTTTACTGTGGTTGTTTGCAGTGGACAGATGATTTCCAAACCCATTCATAATATTAACATTCTACTGCTCAGTTCTCTGACATTTTTTTTATATAAATATATATATAGGTATTTTATTCATGAACATAAAACATTTATGTCTATTTAATATTCAAATTAAATGAAATATCTAAACAATCTTTTATGTGACTTTTAATAATCAAACTAAATCATTATTAAATTTAACAATTGCACTAATAACACTAAAAAGACAGCATTTTAATTCAGTATGTTTAGATTATAAACTTATTTGTAAAATTATTAATTAAAGGTAGTACTAATATCAAATTAAATTCCACCTATTAGATGGCAGTAGAATACTGTCTTGATTCATTCAAATAGAGAAACTGAAAACAACTTTAATGGATCAATAATAATAAATTATGAAACTTATTGCATATATAGACATTTATACACATACTTATTAAGTAATATGAGAAGATTTAATAAAGAATTGCACTCACTGGAACATTTACATATAACAGATAATATAAATTTATATTCATAACAGCATCAAAGTAAAAATAAATTCATTATTGAGGAAATAAACGTAATTAATAAATGAAAAGGTTGCTAACATGTACTGTCTTTAAGAAGCAATAGCTTATTCCTATTGTTATTAACTTAAAGAATCATTTTTAAACTCATAAAGAAGTTCAGTATTGAAAAAGAAACATTTTGACACATGCCCAACGCTGTAGTAGTCTTGCCCAATGCCATTATAGTTTTATACTATAGTTTTTATTTATAATAGTAAATCAGATTGCGCAACATAAATAATTTCATTTGTACATTTTCCAGTGAAGTCTCTTATTCATTCTAAGGTAAACCGCAAATAAAAAATACACTGCGTTGCTGATAGGGGAAGTGACGTCATAGTGAAAAGGGTCTAAAGGGTTGTGGAAATACTTGACAACCCAAACAACAGTGGTGGACCATATGTGTCCAGATGCGCACTGTTTCTTTACAAAGTTAGATCTCCACCTGCTGTGCTGGCATGCACAATACTGTATTTCATTTATAATTTTCAAAAATCTATGCTAAAAACATTGAAGTCTGTATTCAAAATGTTTCAAAAAGGAGAACATCAACTATTACAAGAACTATGGTTTTGACTTTTATTTAAATGTCATGTTATAGGCCTGTTTAAGTATTCATTTGGAAACCAGATTACAAATGATTATATTTGGATGTTTAGCACTAGCTGATTGGCTAATTCTGCATATAATGCATATATCGGTCCGTCACTCCTATCTATCCATGCTCACCAGCGCACTAACCCTCGCTGCTCTGCTCTCTGCCTCTCTCTTTCTCTCCACACCAGGCCTCCAGAGCCAGTTTACAGCACTGTGAACAAACTGAGTGACCGCGCTCCCTCTCCCCGTCTCTACTCCCCCGTGGAGTTTGATAAAAGCCCCATGCACTCAATCCCTCACTTCCCTCACTATCACGTAGGCCTGCTCCCTGACTCCGAGATCACCAGGTACTGAGCACAACGCTCTGCATGAGGCATGTTAATGAAGACAGTGTGATCACACCTCCCTATATATGGTCACACACTTTTTTTTTGCATGCCACGCCCCATTTCAAAGTCATCTACATGCCCCACCAATCACATTTACTAATCCTAGTCTTTTCTTAATTATCTGCAGAGGTGTGATACAGTGAAGATACTTTCATGTCTTGTGTGAAATCAAAATTAAGGGCTGATCACAACAAACACGTTTTTCAGTTCGCAATGTAATGCCTTTTTGTTTACTTAAGAAAAAACAGGGCGCTACACTTTATGTTGCTATAAAACCACTATATGAATGGTCTTGGTGGTGGAGTACAAGACATCAAGTGGTTTTTCAAAGTTTTTTTTAAACTGCAGGTGCACAGAACAATCTGTCAAAAAATTCACAGCAAGATGAGGCACAGGGGTGAATAAGCCAACCCAAGCTCATTCTGAAAACGTAGCCCAGCGGATGTTTCTGGAGACCGCAATTTACGTAGGGCTGCATTTCATTTTTTTCCAAGCGAACGCTACGGGGCGGTGTGATGCCGCTTCTCTTTAAGCTAGCCGGCTGACGGCTCACCTCTGTGTGAAAGGCTTTCCTGCCGCAACCGGTTAGCTTGTCGTGTAGGTCGGCGGAACGGTGACGACCGGGTTTGAGTCCGGGGAAGAGCGGTTCCAGAAATCAGTTAAGACAAAAACAGAATCCAAAAAATAAAGCTCAAAGTTCATAACAGGGAGAGGATGTGGTGAAATCCGAAAACCAGGTCAAAATCAGACGAGGGCTTTTCTTTTTCTGGACGACTTTTGTAAATCGTCACTTGGGTTTAGTGGAGGAGTGAGGAGGAGGAGTGTGGGTCAGCTGATTGGCCAGCTACCCAGTCAATCGTTGTGACTGGGTAGCTGACTGACTGAATCAGACATTCAGTCAGTCAGTCGGACAGACGGCTCCACATGTGAACAGTGCCGGCGCGAACGGCGCGCACTCGCGAGAGGCGTTCGAGACGTGAGAAAGCACGCACAACGGCCTCTTGCGGATTCGCGAAAACAAAAACTGCACAAATACGTACCTCCCGGGATGTATTTCGCGGTCTTCAGAAATGTCCGAGAGGCTACGTTTTCAGAATGAGCCTGGGTTGGAATAAGCAGTGCAAAAAATGTTCACCTCCAAGAAAACTTGCGATATATTTGCCTATGGGAAAATAACTAGGAATAATAATAAAGAGCTGTATATACAGTATAATAATAATTTTAAAAAAGAGAATAGACGTTTGCAACATCAAGCAGCATAACAAGCTTTTTTATGGCTAAAAACCAATTAAACGAGACCAGAAGTCTCGAGCTTTCAAATGACTGAACCCGCACTTATATTAAAGAATAAGGTCAATAGGGGAATGTGTAAATAGCCAAACAATAGTAGTGGACTATATGACCTTATGTCTGCAGATGTGTAATGTTTTTTATAAAGTTACATCACCACCTACTGGCCTGGCATGCATAATACTGTCTTTTTTTTTTGGACATTTTCATTAATCTATGCTAAAAAGACTGTCAAAAATCTTAAAATGGTTGCACATAAGTGATATTGGTAATTTAAAAGAACAATCTGTCTAAAAAAGCACAGCAAGATGAGGCACAGGGGTGCATAAGCTGTGCAAAAAATGCTCACCTCCCATAGAAAGCTATTTTTAAAAGGCGCCTCTCACCACAAAAATAAAATAAAATAAATAAATAAATAAAAAAAAGTATTTGGTGTGATCAGAGAACATCCAAAACTATAACAGTAGTTTGTTTACAAAGAAGACTTTATGTTGCTATGAAACCTCTGTATAAATGTTCTTGGTGCTGGAGCGCATGACATCAGCTGATTTTTTTCAAGTTTTTTTTTTTTTTTTTACACACAACTATTCAAAGATAATTTAATTGTTTTTATAACCTCATGATATAAAAAAGTTCCATAAAATTAACTTATATGTTTTAGATATATAAAACTAATCTATTTGACATATTTATAATAAAATTAATATTTTAATATTATTTAGTTTATTTTTTTCACATGTATTTTTTTCTTTCCTATAAATCAGTAATTTAGTCTAAATTACTGTTCTTTTGATCAATTTAATGCATCCTTGCTGAATAATTATCTAATTTCTTGTTTTAAAAAGTTAGCTAATTAACTAATTACTGAAATAATAATATTTTACTGATCACACTAAATGGCCTTGTACATCTGATAATTGCATAAAACAGACTGTGTGTTTCGCATTTCGCATTGACACCAATGTGGAAAATGACATCAAATCCCACAAATGAGCAGCTCTTAAAGCTCTGCATATTTCTCATTGGCTTTTCCCATTTAACAATGATGCAAAGTGCAAGTAGAGGGCACGAGCATGGAGATTGGTAGTTACTCATGACAGAAGTATAACTGAATCACATCTCTGCTGCAGCTGTCCACTAACTTCCTTCCCTTCCGCAGCCGCTGTCAATTTGTCTGTATTTTCATCTGGTTAGACTGTATTGCTTATTGACAGCTTTTCTATGAAGGTCAGAGCTTGGCTGCTGTCATATGCGGTTTTGCTTGTGTGCCTGTGGCGTCTATTCAACATCAGTGCATCATAAATCAGAGCGGATTGATTTTATCTTCCTTATTTCCTGCCTAACTGATTTCACTTTTAGGTCCGGGCAGCAGCTTGTATGTTTAATTGGATATAAAACTTTATTAGCAATAACGCAACATCTCTCATCTCGCTGATTAAACGAGCAGGCATATAAATGTAATAGACCGGAGATGAACATAGTGTAAACGGGGATTCGGCCATGGAGGAAATGCACTTCGGGATTAAGAGACTTTCTGGTACAAACGGCTGAGTAATGTTTTGCTGTTATCCCAGTCCCGTACACAATGCCCCTGGCATGGGTGTGCTTTGTTTACCAGTTTGTTTAGAATTTAATTTTTAAGTTCATTACTCTATGAATTATAAAGCGCTGTCTAATTGGCTTCACTGGGATTTGGACTGATTTGCATTTCAGAACGCCAGCACGAACACCTAATGCATCGCTTAAATCCTCAGGACTGGCGGAAAAATAGAAAAAATAAATAAATAAAAGGCTTCATGAAAATGCCAGCGATAACATCTGTGATGAATGGATCGCTGTCTCTCATGTTCAGGGTCTGGCGGGTTTTGATGATGCTCTTCAAGGCAAAGCGCAGGCAGCAGTTTTATTAAAATGGCCAATTCTGTTTGACCGAGCATGTGAGAGTATCTGACCAAAAGGGAACAGTTCTCACTTTATGACGCATAAACACCAAAATCCTCTGCCTAAAAGCGCTGTTACTTCAGATTAGCTGTGTTTGAGTAGCTCCTGACAGCTGGCAGTTAAAAAACTGAATGTCTGATTCTGTAATGATCCTCATTTTGAATGGGTTTGTTAAAAACTTGTGAGTTTAGTCTTCTTGTGCCAATTCTGCTTGTTCTCAAGAGATTGGCTCAAATAAAAAATTCAATTCAATTCAATTCAGCTTTATTTGTATAGCGCTTTTACCATGTAGATTGTGTCAAAGCAGCTTCACATAAATGGTCATAGTAACTAGAACAGTGTAGTTCAGTTTTTAGTGTTTAAGTTCAGTGCAGTGCAGTTCAGTTTAGCTCAGTTCAGTGTGATTTAAAATCATTACTGACAGTTCAAACACTGAAGAGCAAATTCATCGATGCGTAGCTCTACCAATCCTTAACCATGTACTTATCTATTAAGAAGCAGTACTTACCTCTAAAAATGTATTTCCAAGGTTATTTTTACCTTCATTAGGACATGTTTTATATTTACCTTATTAACACTGGAACAACATACAGTATAACTGGATAACTAATGGCCATAGTGGATATAAGACTGTACTAAATATTTTCTGTCATGTTATATTTACGTTAAAAGATTGTAGAATCAAGCTTTGAATATTTAGAATATTTTATGACAACATTACCCTAAAAATATGATATTTACAAAATTTGTAATAGCTTATAATTTGTATGAATTACTAGGCCACGCGCAATGGTGTATACCTCACTTTCTCCACAGTGATATTGGTATTTAAAAGAAATGTCTGAAGTAAAGTTATGTTTTTGCAATCTAAAAGTTAAGTATTTTTCTAGCAGAGCTAGGCAGCAGAGGCATGCATATTCACAATGATCTCTTAAAATGCATGCTGCCAATTTGACAGTTATGGCCATTCATGGTGGAAATACTCAGAACTACTACTATAACCATACTTTAATTATGGGTTTTATTTGAACAAAGTTGTTACATTTTAAAAATGGTCAAAATGACTATGTCTGTGGGTCTAGGGCCCTATCATACACCCATCGCAATAAGGCACAAGACATGCATGACATGATTTGTTGCTATTTTCAGACCAGCGCAACAGTAATTTTCATGTTTTGTGCCACGTTGTTTAAATTACAATCTATTTGCAGCACTTTGTGGACTCACAGTTATGCGCCTATGCAGATTGAAATGCTTACACATTGCTTAATACACACAGGATGTACAGCAATACACAAATATCTTTACATAGAAAAAGTTAAAGGATTAAAATGTTAAAAAGAATATATTATTTACCACATAAATAGAAAAATCACTACCACCATGTCTTCGCCATCTCGTTTTTTTTTTTTTTTCAGTTAATTCATGACATTTTGCATTTGTATAATATTATTATTATTAGCAGCATTATTTATTATATGCATATTTATTTTGTTTTAATAAAAACAAGCTTAGATTTGTCCCCCTATCGGGTTTTGGAGACATATGGATCACTAAATGCGGCATAAGAATAGGATGTGTATTTGGTTCATTCAGTCATTTTTTTTTCGGCTTAGTCCCTTTATTAATCTGGGGTCGCCACAGCGGAATGAACCTCCAACTTATCCAGCATATGTCTTACGCAGAGAATACCCTTCCAGCTGCAACATATCTCTGGGAAACATCCA